TCTTAATTTTTTCATGTCCCTCCAGTCTCCACTGAATGCATGTGTTCTTCTTCAACAAAAATCTTTTCAGTAGATCCAGCTCCAACTTCTCAACACCAGCTTCTAACGAACCCGAGTGGAATAATGTGCACACGAGGTCTGCCATACGCTGGGAGAACGGTGAACGAATTTGCAGCCATTCGTGCAGTAGTGCCCTGACCTTTAGTGGAGGGCATTCATGTGGACTCCTCGGGAGTGTCCACAGCACCGTCCTTAACAAGGGACTTCAAACACCAATTGACCTTAGGTGTCACCGCACTTCCCACTTTACAGATAAGTGAACTTTGACCCAGATATCTTTTTACCAAGATAAGGGGAAGCGCAGATGACAGAGGCAGGGAGAAATCCCAGGCATCCTGCGCCCCAAGCTGCCAGCTTTGCACGCATCCTTTCCTCACCGTGTGTCCACAAAGTTTGGAGCAAAGGACAGAAGTGAAGCATCAGGATTGTAAAGGATGCGCTAGATCCAAATCAATATATTGGTATCTTAGTCACTTTCTTTGTCATCGGAACAAAATACTCAACACCCACAACATAAAGAAGGAGAGGTTTATTTCTGCTCACAGTGTGTAGGGGTTTCAGCCCATAGTCAGCAGGGGCCAGGGCTGGCGGTCTGGCAGAGGAGAAAGAGCTTGGGCTTTGTGTTGGGGACAGAGAGGAAAGGAAGGAGCAACAGGGAGACAGACCTTCCAGCCACCCAGGACCCACCTCCCCTGACCAGCCTCCACCCCCAGCCTCACGTTCAACTGTCATGGAGGAGTCCCCTGAACAGCACTGCGCTCCATGGTGCTGCCACCGGCCCAAAGCCCGCCTGTGCGTGCGTGCGCGCGTCCGTGCGTGAGTGCGTGCGTGCGTGCATGCGTGCGGAGTGGGACATCTAGCTAGGAGCATGGTGCTTGGAAACTTCATTCCCAAGTTCCTATGTTGATGGTGTTTCAAGGTGGGGTTTTCGGAGCTGGCTAGGATTAGCTGAGGCCACAAGGGTGGCATCCTGTGACAGCCCCGGGGGCTTTCTGAGAAGAGTGACTGAGCACGCATGTCCCCTCTAGGAGGTGGCAGAGGCCCTTCCCAAACTCTGGCTCCTTGAGAGCAGACTTCAGCCTCTAGGACTTTGAGATTTTGCTTTGTAAGTGACCCAGTGTGTGCTCCTGTCACAGCCGCAGAAACAGACCAAAACAGGAAGCTTAGCCAGGTGTGGTAACGCATGCCTATAATCCCAGCACTAGGTAGGCTGGGGCAGGGAGAGGTTAAGGCACGAGGATTGTTGAGAGTTTGAGGCCAGCCTGGGCTACAAAGTGAGCTCAAGGCCAGCCTGAACTGCAGAGACCCTGTCTTAAAAGACAAAAAACAACAACAACAAAAAACAGGAAGCTCATGCAGAGCTGATTTTCCTCGTTTAAATTACATTTCCTGCACTATAAAGGTTACATTTAGTAGAAACTGTTCCAGACCAAAAGTTAGAAATTTGCTGAGGGTGGTGGGTCATGCCTGTAATCCCAGCACTCGGGAGGCTGAGGCAGGAGGATTGTTGCGAGTTTGAAACCAGCCTGGGCTACAAAGTGAGCTCAAGGCCAGTCTAAGCTGCATATGGAGACCCTGTCTCAAAAAGACAAGAACAAAAACTAAAAGAGTAAATAAATAAATAAATAAATAAATAAATAAATAAATAAATAACAAAAGTTAGAAAATATAGGTTTAATCAAACCTCTACTACTTTTATTTCGGTTGGTGCTAGGGATTGAACCCAGGGCCTTAGTGCATGTAAGGCAAGCATTCTACCACTAAGCCACATCCCCGCCTCTACTATTTGTGAACACTAAGCCTTTATTTATTTATCTATTTATTTTTTTGATACCGGGAATCGAACTCAGGACCTTGTGCTTGCCGGGCAGGTGCTGTGCCAGTGAGCTATCCTCCCAGTCCACTAAGCCTTTGGATGAGTGGCTTTGCTTCTTTGAGCCTCAGTTTCTTCATTTAGAAAAAGACAAAACAAAAAACCAGGACAAAAGTATGTACCAAGTACATGTTGAGAATATGACTCAGCACCCTGGGAAGCTGAGGCAGGAGGGTTGTAGATTGGAATCCAGTTTGGAACTTAGTAATTTAGTGAGTTCCTGTCTCAAAATTTAAAAGAATAAAAATGGGTTGGGGATGTAACTAGGTAAAAAGGTTCTATGTCCAATCTCCAGTACTGGAAAAAAAAAAAGTGAAAAATATTCTATCATTTGAACTCCTTTTTCAAAATTTTATCACTTTTTTGAAAAGCACTTTATATGCAAAAAGACATATTATCAAAAAAAAAAAAAAAGACATATTATCACCCTTTGTGGAGCCTGCTATGTGTGTGTGCTGCCTGCTGGCTGGCTGTATACTTGTCTCTAATTCTCAGGACAAACTGGTGAGGCAGGTGTTATACTTCTTATTTTCCAAAGGAGAACATTGAAATCCAGACAGGAGCGGTGTGACCAAAATCATACCCTGGGTTCAATCCCCACACCACACAAAACACCAACACCAAATAAGGCATATGTGCTTATATTTTTTCTCTATAAGTAGATGTTTAGCTAAATGGACCAAAGACATGTTCTTTTTTTTTTCACTTAAAAATATAAAGCTATTTATTGTTCAATCTTCAGCACAGCCCAAAAAAAAAAAAAAAAAAACAACCCTAGAAATACATGCAAACGCATACACATGGCCAAAAATAGCACGGATATGTGACTCAAATTCTAGAAATTCTGCTAGAAGTTACTTTCCAGGAAAGCAGAGCATCTGACAGATTTTAACCTTGCCTCGCTGGTAATTTCATCCTGGGCTGCCTGACAGTTGGAAACCATCACCTGCAGCGATAGCCTGGGAACTTGGGAAGCTCAGAGGACAGCACTGGCTGTGAGGCAATGCTGGGTGCCTGAGTCAAACTCAGTAGGTTACGGATCAGGGAAATCAGCTGGCTCAAACTTCACCCAAACAGGAAGGAAGCTGACGACTCAGGAGTAGGTCACAGAACCACAGGCCATAAGAGGCCCCAGGCCTCAGGAGGGACGCGAACTGGGAACTAAGGCTCTCTCCTGTTCTCTGGGCTGCCTGATTCCCTGTCTGCTCTGTGTCGGGCTCTTCCTCGCCACAGGGATGTGGCTGTGCGATGCTCCCAGGAAGAGCTTCTGGGGGAAACGGCAGGAAGCTTGGGAAGGGTGCGAGAGACTCATCGTTTGCTCTGCCTCAAGCCAAAGAGACAGACGCTGGCTCTGGCCCGCCAGTCAGTCGATGCTCACGGCTGGAGTGGGGGATCTTGCTCTCCAGACGCCCGGGGTGATTCTACACCCGGGGGCACTTGTCAGAGTGGCTGCTGAGAGGTCTGCACAGGCGGGCAATGGGCGCAGAGTGCTGGGAAAGGAATCTGAGGGGTCGAGGCAGGGCAGCGACTGGGCCTGCAGTGGCTGCTCTGCCTCCTTAGGTCTCTCCCCCTAAAGACCAACTTTCTCTATCATCTGTCCACATCTGGGCCAGATGTGAGGGCTCCAGCCCTACCACATCCTGCCTAAGTACCTGTAAGACACAGACCAATAGACTCTGCGTGCTAGTTTCATATTTCCCAGCAGGGAGAAGTTATCCGCTTGGTCTTGGCCCCAGTTAAGCTGTGCACTGCGGCTACGGCACTAAGGGTAGCCCAATGGTCAGCCACTGGGTGCAGGATCTTCACGCACGTGTGTGTGTGTGTGTGTGTGTGTGTGTGTGTGAGAGAGAGAGAGAGAGAGAGAGAGAGAGAGAGAGAGAGAGAGAACACAACAGTAGGCAGAAGAACAGGTTCTCAGACAGGGGCAGGATGGGCCCGGCCCACTCTGAGTTGGATCCGGGCTGCGGTAATAAATGGCGGGTATGAAAAGCAGCCGTCTCCAAAACACCCTCCTCTCTGGGAAAGGCGGTGCCAGTGCATCTGGCGGGGCACTTGGTAAAGATAGTTATGCTTCTACCTATCTGTTTAAAGAAAAAGGAGATCTGGGTGTTGGACTTGTGGGTAATTTTTTTCTCCCTTTGACCTACCTTTTCTTCCCTTTTCTTAATCCCATGAACTTCTACTGTTTGCATGAGAATAGAGTTCAGCAATGAAAGAAAAAAGTAGAACTACTTAATTTGAATCTAGAAACTTTTCTTTTTTCTTTTTTTCTTCCTGTCTTTTTCTTTTGAGAAATGTTGCAACTGAACTAACAGAAAACAACCTAAAACTCCTCCAGGGCTAGGGGCATAACATAGTGAAAGGAAGAAAATAGACATTCTTGGGGAGGAACAAGACCTAGATAGCAAGAGGAAGTTAGCAAGGGGAGGTCTGGCTGCTTCCAGTTTAAGTTCCCAGGCCCATGGTCTAGAGTTTGTTGAGCAAGTTTTCCGTTTTTACCAGAAAATATCCTCCCTGAAAGAGAGAGAAGAAGGACAGGAGGAAGAGGAGCGGAGGGGTGGGAGGAGAGCAGGAGGAGGAAAAAGGACTTCCAGGCCCGAACAGATTACACCTCAGAATCCCACAGCACTTTGAAATCATGGCCCTGGAGCCACTGCTAGTAAGTGAGACAAATTCAGGACAGCTTCCAAGGTGAAAGCCAGGCCAGGGAGTGGACATTAAAAGGCAGAAGTTGCCCTAACTAGAGGTGTCCACAGAAGGCATCGTTCGCCCAAGGAGGCAGCGGCTTCCTGTGTGGACTTGTGTGAGCAGGAAGTAGGTGACCACCTCGAGAGGGACGTGTCAATGAGTGTCATCCACAGAGGAGCGCTAGAACCAGATCAGGATTCTCAGAGAACGGTCAAGGGCCACAGACCACAAAGTTCCCCTCCAGACCTAAAACTGCAATCCACTTCTACCTATCTGTTTAAAGAAAGAAGAGATCTGGGTGTTGGATTTATGGATAATTTTTTTCTCCCTTTGACCTATCTTTTCTTCCCTTTCTTTTTTAATCCCATGAACTTCTATTGTTTTCCTGAGAATCCCTCAGATTCCTTTTCTTTGCAATGAAAGAAAAAAGTAGAACTACTTAATCTAAACTAGGCAACTCCATCTAAAAAATGCAAGTTCTTGCACTCAGGGTGTAGCTCAGTGACAGAATGCCGGTCTAGCTTGTGTGAGGCCAGGGGTTCCATTTCCATAAATGCGAAAAACAAATCCAAAAAACCCTCAAGTCTTCTCTTCAGTCTTACCATAGCTAGTAATGCACAAGTCACTGTTTCCATTTTATAAGCAACCCAGGTTCATTTATATAGATCCTTACACCCTGTGTGACAGGATCACGTATTGGGCTCTTCCTTCCAAACCGCTCTCCTCTGTTACCCCAAGGTGAGGAGGACGTTAACGCTTCCCCCACGTCCCCACTAACCTTGGGCCTCCAAAGCAGTTGGGGGCCACTGTGCCTAAAATGGAATTACTCCAAACATGCTTTTCTCTTAGGTTCTATTTTCTTAAGATGAGGGCACTGAAGACTGAACGCTTTTCCTCCTTTAAGGGTAGGGAGGGGATAGAGCAGTGTTTCTGAGGGCAACACAGGAAGCTAGCAGGGATTCCTTCCACCAAGGCCTGGCTCTCTGCTTTGTCCAGCAGGAGATAAGATGTCAGAGGGGCTGAATCACTGAGCCCCTCACAGGGCTGCCAGTCTCAGGGAAGCAGAGAGGCACTGGGCCCAGAGAGACCATGATGCATTGAGAAACCAGGGCAAAACAAGATGGCGGAACTTCCGGCGTCTGTAGAGAGCCTGTGAAGAAAGGAGACCTCAGAAACAACCTAAACATAATTCCCTCCCAGCCTAAGGTTTAGTCTAATATAAGGAAAACAAAGGAATGATTTTTCTTTCATACTTTGAGCTTGTGAACCAAGATTCATACCTACCACATTCCTAAGCATACTACAGTTACTGGTTCTGGGCCAGGTTTGTACGTGATTAGAATTGACACAGAGGAGTCTAAGTCTGGATCCCATGCAAAATTTTGTCTGAGTGGTGGCCTTGAACTTCTTGGAAAGTAGGAAATGATTTCTTATTGCTGCTATTCCTGTTCTGCTCCATTTCTTCATTTTATTAATTGCTTTTAATTTAGCATCCTGTGTGTGTGTGTGTGTGTGTGTGTGTGTGTGGTGTACTGGGTTCAAACCCAGGGCCTCACACATGGGAAGCCAGTGTTTTACCACCCCCGACCCTTAAAAAAAATTTTTTTTTAATAAAAGGTTTTAAAACAGGGTCTTACTAAATTGATCTGACTGGGGCCAGGGATATAGCTCAGCAGCACAGCACCTTCCTGGCAAATGCAAGGTCCCGAGTTCAATTCCCAGTACTAAGAAAATGAAAGTAAGTAAATAAGTAAATTGATCTAACTGGCTCAAACTTGCAATCTTCCTGCCTCAGCCTCCTGAGTAGCTTCGGTTACAAGTGTGTGGCACAAAACTTAATTTCCAACTTCGTTTGTCACTAGTTCCATGTCAAATAACTTCTAGTACAATAACTATGTATTTTTATGCTCAAATTGCCCCACATTTGTGTTACAGTCCATTCCAGTCCTACCCCACCCAAACAAAAGCCAAACCCGCTTCCCTGACAGACATTTGTAATCTAATTTGCGTCTGACAAGACAGCTGTAATTTAATTTACTTTCTGACAGGCATCCTAATCCACAAAGGTCAGCCCCTCCCAGAAATGTCCTCTGCATGCAAACAAAGCCAAACTTGGCCAGAATTTTCGCACCACTCCTAACCGGGTCCAGGCCCCTCTCCCTTTGTGTATATAAACCCAAACTGCTTGCCTGTTGGCGCACGCGGTCTCTACCCTTAGAGTCCCGCCCGTCACACCCATTCCAATAAACGACCTGCTGTGTTACTGTGCTTTTTACTTGATCCCTCCGCCTACTTTACAATTTGACCACGGGGAGCGCCTTTGTGTTGGTCCTACTGTACTTTTGCTATCTCTTCGTCAGTCCTCGCACAATTGCCTTAATTAATCTGTCTCAGGGTCATTTCATCTTTGTCCTCCTCCAGCCTTGGACTCAGCACTATCTCCCAAGAGCCCTGGCTCCTTGCAGCAGGAAATTGGTGTTTAGAAAGCAGGGTTTCAGCTGTGCTCACTCTCCCTGCTTATCGTTGCTTTTGAGCCCCCTCAGCAGATAGAGCTAGGAGATGCGTGTGTGCCTGGGCATGTGCATCAGTACGTACATGTGCAGGGCCTCAGCTGCCCACAGAAACCCACAGGTTCACATTTTCTTTTCATTTTTGGCAATAGTGGGGTTTGGACCCAGTGTCTCACACATGCCATGCAAGTACCTTGCCACTGAGCTACATTTCCAGCCTTTCTAAATTTTCTTTTGAGTGCTCGCTTCGGCAGTACATACACTAAATTTTCTTTGGAGACAGCCACTAAATTACCCAGGGTGGACAAAAAGTAAAATAAAAATTAAAAAAAATATACCGGGTGTGGTGGCACATGCCTATAATCTCAGCACTCGGGAGACTGAGGCAGGAGGATTGATGCAAGTTTGAGGCCAGCCTGGGATACAAAGTGAGCTCAAGACCAGCCCGAACTGCATAGCTAGATCCTGTCTCAAAAAGACAAACAATAAAAAATAAAAATAAGTTACCCAGGGTGGTCTCAAATTTGTACTCTTCCCGCCTCAGCCTTCCAGGTAGCTGAGATTACAGCTGTGTGTGAGCCCAGTCCATGTCCAACATCACAGGGTTCATTCTAGCCGTCCTTCTGTCTGTGCTAATAATTTCCTTTTCCAGGAGCAAGAAACCTAACTCTCCTTTCCCTACATATATCCAAGTCACGGGCTTGAGACCTGTGGACACAGGAAGTAGCTTCAAAGTTACCAGTTTACTCCACTGTGAGAAGTAAATGTAGCTAGATTTAAATATTTTCTCACAGCTCTTTAGTATAGCCAAAACTTACGCACAGTGAGATGTGCATATCCGAAGTACACAGCTCAGCGGGCTTTGCTGAGTACAGAAACCCAGTCACACACTTCTGACCTAGACGGGTCCCGTCATGCAGGAAAGTGCTCCTGGGCTCCTTTGCAGTTAATCCTTGCGGCGCACCAAGGCAGCTGCTGTGCTGATTTCCTCCCCTAGTTTAGTTCCGCTGCATACAAGAGACTCTTGCTGTCTGGACTCTTTTGTTCCCAGCTTCCTCTGCTTGGTGTCTGCACACGTCTCCATGTTGTCACGTTTTAGGGGCCGGGTCTTTGTTGCTGAGTATGATTTCACTAGAAGAATACACAATTTGGTTATGCATTCTCCTGTCTATGGACTTATGAATGTTTCCTATTGTGGGTAATACCTATCCTGGCTATTGTGGGTAAAGCTACTATAAACATTTTTCATGCAAAAGCCTGCTGGGTTTGCTTACAGTAGAGCTTTTGCTTATAGTAAAGCTACTATAAGCAAAAGAGGAGAGAGCATTGCGATTGCATTGGACACTTTTTTTCCGTCTCACTCTCTCTTTGCTGCCTGCTTTTCTCCAACCATTGCTCCAGGAATCTGCTTTGAGCGCATACGAGCTCAAAGCACCTCAGTTCTTCAGCTCTACACTGTAGACCTCATGCATATGGACATGGGAAGCCAGTGGAAATGTGTCCCCTTTGTCCCTCGGGTAAACAGTACCGAGTGTGTTCTACCTGACTCCTCAGAAGGCCCAGCAGGACCGAGTCCCGGTGCCCACTGGAGTCTGACTCCTAATGCCCTTTGTGCTTTCCTACTCTCTTCCCTGCCACACTGTGCCTGGTCTCTCATTCCTGTCCCCACTACATTTGCAAACCTTGTCCCAGGCTCTGCTTCTGCAAAGAATTCGGAATGAAGCAGCTTCAGCTAAGTGTCTGGAAGTAAACAGCAGAGGTAAAAGCTCAAAAGCTTAAAGCATCCTCACTATGCTTCACTGTTCTCTAACGTGGAGACACACTTGCTCTTTCTTCATCACTTATGAGATACACTTCAATTTCAGAAGTGCTGCAGTCTAGCTGGACATGGTGGCACATGCCTGTAACCCTAGCACTCAGGAGGCTGAGGCAGGAGGATCGTTGCAAGTTCGAGACCAGCCTGGCCTACAAAGTGACTCAAGGCCATCCTGAACTGCATAGCGAGACCTTGTGTCAAAAAGACAAAAAAA